TGTACTCTACCAATAGAAGCCAAGAGTTTGCTGCGCTTGGCTGCAGCTAGCAATAGCATTCCTCTTTTTACCATTTTCCATTTTCATGCTTTTTGGCAGCCTTTCCTTATTTCCTTTTCTGCTTTTCCTTACGTAATGCAAACGAAACATTGCATCAATGTCGCTTCTCCCTGTTATTATCCGTCATTTCTACCATCCATTTATCCATTTCCTTTGGTTTAACCTACAGGCCAGGCCCTGTTTCATTGGTCCCTTCGGTGGAATGAGGAATTTGCTAAAGCCATATCTTTCGGCAATGGGTTTTGGTCATAAAGCCCATTGGTAGAGTTATATAATTTGTTTAATTTTTATCTTAATTTAATTATTTAAAATAATTAATAATTAATATTTATTACTCTGATTTAATAAATTAAAATAAATTTATAAATAAATATTTCATACATTATTATTAGTTATTTAACAAAAAAAAATCTAAATTGATAAAAAAAGAGTTAAATATATTGTGTAGTGATAATAATTTACCATGTAGTCATAATTACATCCATATATTTCAACTTGCAACTAAATTCCTAATTCTTGTTTCATATGTTTAGTCCACTAAAGACAATTTTTAGTTCATGGTCTTAGCCGACTAAACTCGTTATCCTTATTACTTTTCCTAGAAACTTACTTTCTTATGTGAGCGTTGTGTGAGAAGATCAATATGGAGATAACTGGTGCCTTTAGTCTCATTTGACTAAACCCTAAAGCTAAGCTATGAGCTGCCTTTGCACGACTTCTTCAACTTCTTTTAGGAAGCCTACAAAATAGAGTAATGATAGGAATGACGAAAATTTATGCTATATTATTAAATTAATTAATACATATAATATCATGAGTCTTAAAAAATATAAAGAAATAATTATTATATCATATAAAATTTATCTTTTAATATTTTAAATAACATAACATAAATCATATTATTAGTAGGGATGACAACGGGTCCTCACGAGGGTGGGGACTCCATCCCCATCCCCATCCCCACCAATGATGAGTATGGGGATCCTCGTGAGGGTTTTTAGTGGGAGGCCAAAAATGGCCTCCTTCCTCATACCATAAGAAATCATAAGTCCTTGCAAATATTCAAAGTCTCTATCAAATATTAAGTATATAGAATTTAACCTTATTTTTTTCTTGATAAATAAAAAAGATAAAAATTTAAAACAACTCAAACAAGTAAATATATTAACATATAGTGCAGTAAGGCAATATTTAGTAACTAATTACAACAGATACACACTGTTATACACATCTAACAGGTTCAGTAGCAAGTTCATAAAAAAAATGCATGAATTGCCATACATGTCTAGATTGGGTTAGGTTATTGAATTAGGTTTGGGAAAGCTAGAGTTGGAAAAGGAATTAGGTTGGGCAATTTAAGCTAGGTTGAGCTAACTAATTAGGTTGGATGAGTAAAAATTAATTGGTAATATATTTATAAAAACATATATAAGAATAAATTTATATTTTTTTTTATTATATATGGATTTTCACATATCTCTACAGGATAAAGGAAATTTCTCATGAAATTTCGTTGAAAAAAAAAATGCCTCCACCTTGTCCCATAGAGAGAAAGATTATTAGAATCTCTATTACATGACGGGGATCTCCACAACACTTTGCGGGTCTAGGAAGAAATTGCCCCCCCTAATCATTAGTCTCATATTTTGGTCATGTTTATCACTATTTCATAAAATAACCAAACACAGCCTAGCTTTGCCCAAGTTGTCTGAATAGAGTTTTAGGCCCATAAGGCGCTGAAGAACTTCATTACTCCATTAGACTTAGGCCTAGGCCCAAGGAGCCCATATACACCAACTGGACGAAAAAAATTGCATCTGGATTCTGGACTTGGTTTCCGAACAACTCTCAATGACCCGTTTCTTTTTCTTTTTGTTTGGGCTTAGCTCCCAAAAGCTGACTTGCACAAAAGAACCATAAATTTATGACCTACGGCCCTATGCACAAAAAACATAAGAAGGGAAAATTTCTTAAATTTGAACAAGGCCATAAATTTAAATTCCAGTTAATATCGACCTCTCACATAAAAAACTATTGAAAAAAATAAAAATAATAATTTGTAGCTCGAGATGTGGATTTTATTTTGACAACGGTTTTTTTTTTTTTTGGTTCGGACTGCATAAAAAGATACAAATTGAATTATTAAAGTATTAAAACATTTATTAATAAATAAAATTCATCATAAGGTTTAAATACTTTTATAACACAAATTAAAAAGAAAGATATTTAATTTAATTTTATAAAAAAAAAAGTAAACAATAAAAAATATATATAATAAATATAATTTTACAGTCTAAACTATAATATATCAACCAACGATGAAAAAGTAGCCCAATAACAATAAAGAATCATCAAACAAATTTGTAGATGTCAACTGTTCCATTAGTGATTCAAATGTCTAGAACGTCTGGTGCAATGTCAATTTTGTCAAAGAATGTGTTTTATAAGATTAGAAATTCAAGGATCAAAAAAAAAAATATCTATTTCATTTAATGATGTAGGACACAGATTCAAAGCTCTCCCAACCCCTTAATCCACAAAATGAAGGGATTCGCCAAATACTTTGAGTTATGTTCCAAAAAAAAAAAAGAAAAAGAAAAGGATTGATCAAATACTTCCTCAACCACTCAAGGCATCCAAGGATTAAGATTCTATCCATTAAATCATAAGCATTATGCAAGTCTAAAATCAACATCAGATCCTAGTTATCCTGTCTAAAATCTTTATTTTTATTTTTTGAATTAATAAAATATTAACTTAGTTAAATTCTTGTCCATTGACAAAAAATCTTTGTTTAAGTGTAGTTAGAGTGAAGTTCTTTTTGTTTGTAATGAAATTACATAGAAATTTCACAACAAATTAGCACTAGCTCTCTAGAAGGTAAAATCGACTTCTAAAAAAAATTCAGAAGCTCTACTAAGTTCTATCAAAGAAAATAAAAATTAGAAGCATTATTTTTTTTGACAAAAAAATACAATGTTAAGTTAGCATCTATTCAAAAAAAGTCGAGTTTGGGATTCAATTTTCAAACCAAAATACGTTCCACTTACTTCTCACTTTGGAGAAGCGTGATTACTACTGCAGCCACATTAGAAAAATGCAAATTAGAAGCACTATTAAATGTTAAAAGAGAAGTATTTCTTTTTCCCCTTTTACTAAGATGAGTAGTAGATATTTACCCCCCAAAAAAAGAAAAAAAGAAAAAAAAAAAAAGAGTAGATCTACAAACATGCTTGGCTGGACTGTTACCAACCATATACTGCTTTGCGGGCAGGTAAGGGCCAAAGGCCCAAAGTGAAGCTGCTTGGAATGTAGCAAACAACAAGACTAATGGTTTAGTTCATCCAAGAGAGAA